ATTGTCTGCCATTGTCGAATCCCGTTTAATCTATCGATTAAGCAAAAACCACTTTACGCGCTACGAAAACGTTTTTTAATCACTTAATGAAAAGCAGAAGAGCTTTTTATGGTTTTGAGTCAATAATTTATCTCCTATAAACAAAATAACAGCATATTTTTGTGGCGTCCTACCTTCAACCTGAAAAGTGGCGTTCTGGCGTCTGCGACGTGACCACGCGAACGTCATGACATGCGCAGTATGTACATAGTTCCACTAATGACTTCCGGTAGGCGTTCGTGACCTCAAGCACGTCTGGTGCTTAAGCTCTCTAATAAGTCAGCCATGACCGAACTTGACAAGAAACGCGCAAAGCCATTCTAAAGCGTCCGGAAACGCCCAAAATGCCCCCCATGGTGTCTAGCTACCTAGTTCCCACGGTTATTGTTGTATACTATTTTTGGAATCATACGGAGAAGTTAGGTGTAATAAAAAGTTGTTATGATAAACATATATTCATACGAATTGTTCGTATATAATATCGTAGATATTAGCGATATATAAGCTAAGAAAATATTGGTGTTGTATACCCGGACTATTACTTTGATGCTAGGAGTAGTGAGTTTACCACGCAAAACCCAATGAAGTACTCGTCCAGACATCTCGTCGGCAGTACATTTGAAAGTTGAATGGAATTTTCCAAAGTGAAGGGTTGATCATTGACATCATTGGGTTTTAAAATGGAGCCAAATAAAATGGTCAGTGATATTTATGACTATTCTTAAAATCGCTTCTGTTTTCAACCTATCGTAACTGTGCAATCTGTAATGAATAGTCCACATTGCAAGTTTTTAAATATTACCGCATCTGTTTTTCATGTTTTTCAAATCGTCTGCTATGCGTTTATACAGTGAATAACTTCAGTTTTCGTGAGTAAGTCATTATTTCATGAAATTAAGTGAAAATAATTCCGTAATGACGTCACAGTAAGAAAACTGAGGTATTTTGATTTAATCTCGCTCGTAGTCACTTGTGGTCACTCGTGGTCACTCGTGGTCACTCGTGGTCACTCGTGGTCACTCGTGGTCACTCGTAAGTACTTTTAGACCCTATCGCAGTCAATAAGACTCTTTCCAGCTAGACACAAGGGGATTTAAAGCAACTTTTATTCATCGAATTGCCAATGTCTTTGTTGCGTTTGAATGAAATGAGTGGAAGTTGCGAAAATATAGTGCTTGTCTCTGGATCGCTTTGAAGTAATTTAAAGTCTTTTAAGAGTGATGGATTTAACCGAGTGGTTGTGAGGGTGAAACGTGAGAGTGAATGGAATGCTGTCGGAATCTTCTTTATGTGATGTTTGTAATGCTGAATGTCGATCAATAAGTTGGGCGGGGTGGTAACCCGCTTGAACGACAGAAACAGGGTAACCACGTTTATCGATTTTCACTCCAGTTGTAGTAAATAAAATATTTCATACACATAAGAGTAGAACCCAGCAATTAAATTGTGTTGCAGCACATGTATGATTTAACTGGCAGAAAGAGTACTGCATTCCTACAAACCCAACTTTTTGATTAAACAACTTGTCCTAAGTTAACTATTTTGAAGAAGTGGTTCCTAAAGGTAATACTATCAGCAAAGATCCTCTGAAAACTTATGCCCACTACAGGCTTAAACTTAGCTAAACACTGACAGAAACTCTCTATTACATGTACATGTTTGCAGTATATTGTCTCCAAATGTTCCAACATAAATTTTTTGTATTTTTCTGAAAACCTGGGCTTACACAAGTTTTTGTTACATTGTTTATCAAGAAGCTCTCAAATTTTTATTATTATTTTATACTAAATGGTTAACAAGTGAATTTTTTCTTTTAGGACTTACTTTGTTGAGGATGGTGATGAGGAATATACGTACAAAGTAACAATCTGTCAACAGAATCTTAAAGATACAACAGCGATTCTGCAACATGGCAAGAAATGGGAAGATTCAGATTGGAAGGGAATAGGAACCTATGAGAAAGCACATGTTACTGGAGGAAGTATGTGATTTAATTCAAACTTAGTACATGAATAATTGTGTTTAAAACATTGGAGCACTGATGAAGCACATAGATTTGAACCCTTTTGCCCCTGTTAGTGACCAAGACAGAATTTTCCTGATAGTGCATAACGAAATAAAGCACACAAGTGCTTGATCCTCTAATCATCCACTGGGGGAGTTTTAGCTGATTGAATGCCAAATTATTAAAATTAACATTATCAGCAATGTATTACCAACAGTAAAGGGAAACATTTTTTTTCATCTTGTCGTGAGTGTGGGAGAACAAAAAAAATTTCTGAGTCTGAATGGAACCTCAGACTAATAGTTTCCATGCTCTGATGCTCTATGACTGTTAGAGACTCCACCATGAGCTAGACCATAAGTAGGTTTCTTATCATTTGTGGCACATCTTAAGACATTGCTAGATCAGCAATGTCAAATGCATCACTTCATTACCAACCTCAAAATTTATAATACACAGCGTACTATCTTTCATAATGTATATACAGCTTTGTGCACACACTCTTTCGCTTAATTCACCACGCTTAAAATTTACGTGTATCATCTCCATTGACATCATCATTGAGCAAAAGCATCACATTCAGCATTTCTATCCTAGCAGTATGCAGCAAGTTTGTCAGCACAGACCTCTTTAAAGGATCTACAGTCAGCATTAAAATTAGTTGATGCTTTATGTTTGAAGAGTTCTATTTGTGTGAACAGTAATAGTCCTATATAAGAACGATCCTTCGCAGTAAAGCACTATTTGAGCAATAGTGGAAATCAGACCTGAAAAAAATTTCAGGCCTGTACGGGATTCGAACCACTGACCTCTGCGATACTAGTGCAGCGCTCTACCAATTGAGCTAACAAGCCAACTGGGAGCAGGCCATCAAATTAATTCGATATAAACCCGTAGATGATAAATCGAACAACAACAAACATATGAAACATATGAGTGAACTGCGGTTATGAGACGTATATAAGAACGATCCTTCGCAGTAAAGCACTATTTGAGCAATAGTGGAAATCAGACCTGAAAAAAATTTCAGGCCTGTACGGGATTCGAACCACTGACCTCTGCGATACTAGTGCAGCGCTCTACCAATTGAGCTAACAAGCCAACTGGGAGCAGGCCATCAAATTAATTCGATATAAACCCGTAGATGATAAATCGAACAACAACAAACATATGAAACATATGAGTGAACTGCGGTTATGAGACGTATATAAGAACGATCCTTCGCAGTAAAGCACTATTTGAGCAATAGTGGAAATCAGACCTGAAAAAAATTTCAGGCCTGTACGGGATTCGAACCACTGACCTCTGCGATACTAGTGCAGCGCTCTACCAATTGAAAAAACGAAATTTGTACATTTTTTGTATAATTTGCTTTTGAAATGCCGACTTAAGTGGGCAAAACTGAAAGTTTGCAGTTGTAGAAGTAATTACTCGGAATTCGTCAACGTATTTCGCCAACACATTTCGTAGTATCAACACTCTCTTTGTCTACTCGATGCAAGCTTTAGGACTGGTGTATNAAACATATGAGTGAACTGCGGTTATGAGACGTATATAAGAACGATCCTTCGCAGTAAAGCACTATTTGAGCAATAGTGGAAATCAGACCTGAAAAAAATTTCAGGCCTGTACGGGATTCGAACCACTGACCTCTGCGATACTAGTGCAGTGCTCTACCAATTGAGCTAACAAGCCAACTGGGAGCAGGCCATCAAATTAATTCGATATAAACCCGTAGATGATAAATCGAACAACAACAAACATATGAAACATATGAGTGAACTGCGGTTATGAGACGTATATAAGAACGATCCTTCGCAGTAAAGCACTATTTGAGCAATAGTGGAAATCAGACCTGAAAAAAATTTCAGGCCTGTACGGGATTCGAACCACTGACCTCTGCGATACTAGTGCAGCGCTCTACCAATTGAGCTAACAAGCCAACTGGGAGCAGGCCATCAAATTAATTCGATATAAACCCGTAGATGATAAATCGAACAACAACAAACATATGAAACATATGAGTGAACTGCGGTTATGAGACGTATATAAGAACGATCCTTCGCAGTAAAGCACTATTTGAGCAATAGTGGAAATCAGACCTGAAAAAAATTTCAGGCCTGTACGGGATTCGAACCACTGACCTCTGCGATACTAGTGCAGCGCTCTACCAATTGAGCTAACAAGCCAACTGGGAGCAGGCCATCAAATTAATTCGATATAAACCCGTAGATGATAAATCGAACAACAACAAACATATGAAACATATGAGTGAACTGCGGTTATGAGACGTATATAAGAACGATCCTTCGCAGTAAAGCACTATTTGAGCAATAGTGGAAATCAGACCTGAAAAAAATTTCAGGCCTGTACGGGATTCGAACCACTGACCTCTGCGATACTAGTGCAGCGCTCTACCAATTGAGCTAACAAGCCAACTGGGAGCAGGCCATCAAATTAATTCGATATAAACCCGTAGATGATAAATCGAACAACAACAAACATATGAAACATATGAGTGAACTGCGGTTATGAGACGTATATAAGAACGATCCTTCGCAGTAAAGCACTATTTGAGCAATAGTGGAAATCAGACCTGAAAAAAATTTCAGGCCTGTACGGGATTCGAACCACTGACCTCTGCGATACTAGTGCAGCGCTCTACCAATTGAGCTAACAAGCCAACTGGGAGCAGGCCATCAAATTAATTCGATATAAACCCGTAGATGATAAATCGAACAACAACAAACATATGAAACATATGAGTGAACTGCGGTTATGAGACGTATATAAGAACGATCCTTCGCAGTAAAGCACTATTTGAGCAATAGTGGAAATCAGACCTGAAAAAAATTTCAGGCCTGTACGGGATTCGAACCACTGACCTCTGCGATACTAGTGCAGCGCTCTACCAATTGAGCTAACAAGCCAACTGGGAGCAGGCCATCAAATTAATTCGATATAAACCCGTAGATGATAAATCGAACAACAACAAACATATGAAACATATGAGTGAACTGCGGTTATGAGACGTATATAAGAACGATCCTTCGCAGTAAAGCACTATTTGAGCAATAGTGGAAATCAGACCTGAAAAAAATTTCAGGCCTGTACGGGATTCGAACCACTGACTTCTGCGATACTAGTGCAGCGCTCTACCAATTGAGCTAACAAGCCAACTGGGAGCAGGCCATCAAATTAATTCGATATAAACCCGTAGATGATAAATCGAACAACAACAAACATATGAAACATATGAGTGAACTGCGGTTATGAGACGTATATAAGAACGATCCTTCGCAGTAAAGCACTATTTGAGCAATAGTGGAAATCAGACCTGAAAAAAATTTCAGGCCTGTACGGGATTCGAACCACTGACCTCTGCGATACTAGTGCAGCGCTCTACCAATTGAGCTAACAAGCCAACTGGGAGCAGGCCATCAAATTAATTCGATATAAACCCGTAGATGATAAATCGAACAACAACAAACATATGAAACATATGAGTGAACTGCGGTTATGAGACGTATATAAGAACGATCCTTCGCAGTAAAGCACTATTTGAGCAATAGTGGAAATCAGACCTGAAAAAAATTTCAGGCCTGTACGGGATTCGAACCACTGACCTCTGCGATACTAGTGCAGCGCTCTACCAATTGAGCTAACAAGCCAACTGGGAGCAGGCCATCAAATTAATTCGATATAAACCCGTAGATGATAAATCGAACAACAACAAACATATGAAACATATGAGTGAACTGCGGTTATGAGACGTATATAAGAACGATCCTTCGCAGTAAAGCACTATTTGAGCAATAGTGGAAATCAGACCTGAAAAAAATTTCAGGCCTGTACGGGATTCGAACCACTGACCTCTGCGATACTAGTGCAGCGCTCTACCAATTGAGCTCCCAGTTGGCTTGTTAGCTCAATTGGTAGAGCGCTGCACTAGTATCGCAGAGGTCAGTGGTTCGAATCCCGTACAGGCCTGAAATTTTTTTCAGGTCTGATTTCCACTATTGCTGAAATAGTGCTTTACTGCGAAGGATCGTTCTTATATACGTCTCATAACCGCAGTTCACTCATATGTTTCATATGTTTGTTGTTGTTCGAGTAATAGTCCTGTTGCTACAACACTCTAAATTATCAACAGACCCACCCTCCCCCATTCAATGTTGGTTAAAAGTTCATGGAATCACCATACAGCACAGTTTTTTTGGGAGGGGTGGGTGGGGGAGGGAGCAAATAGGTTACATTAACTTAAGGAAGGCAAAAGAGGTTTGATTGAAGTACTTTAAAAGAGGGTCGAAAAGAACAATGTTCCAACAATTTTGTCACCAATGGTAGCTTGCCACTAGTCCTCTACAGTCCAGCTGTAGAGGAGGTCATAGGTTCGACTCCTATTGGCATAGGCGTATGGGCAATGTTTTGCCAGGGGAGACGGGAACCATTTGCAAACAAAAAACTCTCACAAGTTACCCAAATTTTTATGAAACAGTCGTCATATGATACACTAACATAGGCATACATGTAAAACATGTTAAAAGAAATAGCTCAGTCTCTGCCATTTCGACGGCCAAATATATCAGTGATACGATCCATGTCTTTCTCGACTACAGAGTTGGCATATTCCCTTTCAGTGTTAATAAGTGCGATGTTACTAACACGTTGTTGCCCCATGGTGCTGCGGAGGTAAACTTTCAATCTGCACAACTCACTGAATGATCATTCTGTGGAACATTATGTAGTAGGTATCACTGCAAGGATATGTACCAGACTAGAAAACTCTAGGAATATATCAAGTAGGTCATTCTCGTGCATTGGCTGCAACATTTCTGAAACAGTCATGTAGCCTAATCCACGTACATGACGAAAACTTGCATACATTTTCTGCTCGGCCTCCAGAATCTCCCCGTCAACTTTTTAAAATTTAGCAACTAGGGAGAAGCTTTCTTTATCCGGTGTTTCACTCTGAT